AAATGTTATTATGCAAAATCTCATTGAATTTGCCCCAATTTATATTGTCAAATTATCAACATTTTTATAATTTTAGCTTATAAATAATTGAAGATATTTAATGGTGAAAGTTATGTATTGACAAACGTGAAAGTTAAAGTAGAACAATCAATAAAACATAAATAAAGGAGAGTATGTGTGTTGTCAAAAACTCAAAACTATATCCACTTTTAATATTTTTAGCTATGAAGTGAGTGATGAGGAAGTATTGTGTTGATTTTGTATCCGCACATATACCCGCCACAAGTTAGAGGCGGTAATGGAAATATTTTTTTTCCCCCTTCTAAAAATCCAATTAGCAAAATATCAACTGCCTATTAACAAAGAAAGCTATGGAGCAAGCAAGGGACGAGCTTATTCAGTCCACTAGGGTTATATCTAAAACCCCAATTATCATTATAACTTCAATTCAAAAGTTGGTGGTTAAGGTAGATTTATGTACCTGTAAGGTGAGTGGTAAGTGGTGGAGCAAGATGCTATTGAATTTTATATCCGCCATGGGTGAAGAGCGAAGCGTGGATTTATTTTTGTATAATAAAACATCAATTATTTATATTTGAAAAAAGAGAGGATAGTTTGTGATGAGCATAGTCATCACTCTAGAGGAATATATTATGCCCTCATTTTTGAATAATAAATAGTGGCGAACTAGAAGACCTTTAAAATGGGCAAATACTAGTTTATTTGCCAGATAAACGAATTTTTGTTAATCTGGTGACAATTTCTGTAAATATATTCAAAAAGCGTGGTCATTTATTCAATACTTTTGGTGAGCTGTCCAATTACTGTTTGCAACTTGCATTTAGGAAATTACACATGTACCCCTCAACTAGTACATGAAAAGACGCAGGTACCCCTCCACTGGTACTTGAAAAGACGATTATACCCCCAGGTTTATCTGGAAGATAAACTGGGCACATCTCCTTCAAAATGAAAAGGATGAGAAGTATTTTATGTACATATTTTTCATGCTTGCCCATATATATTTTGAAATATATGTGCTTCCTTTCTATTTTTTTTTTTTTTTACTCATGATGTGCATATTTTAAGATTTCCAAGACCAAAAACTATTTTTGAATTGAAAATCAAATATGCACATTCAGTTGAGAAAATATGCATATTTCATTTTAAAAACTTGCACATCAATCCCTCTCATTCTTGGGTTAAGAAACTCTCATTGAATAAAAAAAAGAAGTTAGTATATACTTCATCTGTTTCTTAATACATGCAACATTTGACTTTATAAAGTATTATCATTAACTTTGACCTTATTTATTGCTAACATACAACTGATACAAGTATTAAACTAATAATCATCAATCTAATTATTGTTGGGTTGATCTCAATTTTCATAACATCACATTCTATAATTATTTCTAATATAAAAATACAAGATATTGGTGGTCAAAGTTAATTTTAGAATAGTGCAAAAATCAAATGTTGCATGTATTAAGAAATGGAGAAAGTATATAGAACAAGAAAGAGACAAAGTGAGATTAACTATCAACTTTATGCGTTGGTAAACGTGAAAAAGCAAATGGTTGGACTGTGGCACAATCTTAAAACCACACCTGCCTTTTTATTAAATAAAATATTTTTCCATCCTTATTAATTTGATGTAGATTTGTTGAAGTGTAGCTACAACATTAAAAACTAACAAGTATTTAAGTTTTATTACATATTTGGCCTGAAATTTACTGCTGCATTTGTTTGAGCTTCTGCAAAGTGTGTTTTTATGGAGTAGAAATCCTCTCTACCTGTTCTGGCTTCACTAAATTGGGACGTCTTTCAGGGGATTGTCGAGCTTTACAAGAAGAAGTTGCCAAACTGTTCTGGCAGCACATCTTCTTTCAATTGTGAGGGTTATTGCTCCAATATTGCCACATTTGGCTGAGGATGTCTGGCAGAACCTGCCATTCCAGTTTGCTAATGATGATGGCTCCACAGCAAAATTTGTTTTTGAGTCAAGATGGCCAGTGCTAAACGAGCAGTGGCTTGCTTTTCCTGATGATGAAGTGCAGTTTTGGTCTAAAGTTCTTGAGGTAATTTTCTTAGCACAACCTGAGAGACCAGTGTAAGTGGGACTTTCAAAATATATCATGTAGTTAAGGTGTATACAGGTGGCTTTGAACATGCCAAAGTTCCCTCTTTCACTTATATATACAAAGCTAATTGCTACATGATGCTACTTTGCTACAATATACTATAAAATGAATCTTACTGAGTAGGGTGCTTAGTATTTAATACTTACCTCCGTTTTTTTTTTAGTTGACACGTATTCCTTTTTAGGAAGTTTATTTTAGTTGACACGTTTCCTTTTTAGGTAAGTTTTATACCTTGCATATACTAGTATACCCCACTTGCTTTATCCTTCTCTCACATTCTCTCTCCTCTCCTTAATATGTGTGCCTAAATTGAACGTGTCAACTAAATAGGAACGGAGGAACTGTTTTTTTTTATTTTTTTATTTTTTTTTTATTTTTTTTATCTACTTTGGAATTATAGCCCAAACTTGCATTTTCTTGTCATTTTTTCAATTAGTTGTCTGTTTTTATTTTTATATTTATGAAGGCGTAAGGTTTGCCATTCTGATGCTGATTTCATATGGAAACCATTCTTGTATAGTGGACGACTACTATAGACAAAATCTTGGTCCATGCAGCCGACTCCACTCTTTGGGGAATAAGGCTATGCTGTTGTTATGTTCATACTTCAGAGTAATCAAGTTAAAATTAACACTTGATGCTGTCATGAATCTAAAGATTTCAATATTGCTTACTGTTTCGTTACTGCACTTGATTGTAGAAATTTTTTCATTCAATTTTATTATCGGTGTAGTATATGTATAAAGTATTTCTTAGAAGTTAAAAAGAACAGGTCCTTATTTCTCTTAATTTTTAAATAACCAAGTTGCTGACCACCTTTAACAGAGTATTTCTTGAAAGTTAAAAAAGGAGTACTCTGTTTTTCTTATAAGTCAACGAGAAAAGGAACTTATTTTTCTTATTTTCTACACAACCAAATCGCCTACCACCTTCTATATAAAAATCTGGGAACAAGTCCAACTTTATCATTCCTTTAATTGATCGATTTAAATCTATAAATTAGTTTTAATCAGTAAATTAGTTTCAGTTCATGTAAAGAGTGTAGTGCCATAATTTTCATTAAAGCTCACAAAGTAGTTCGTATTACGCTGGAACAAATGTTTGAGTGAGCATATATATTTGATGATTTGATCTATGCTTATGGTACTCTCTCTCTCTCTCTCTCTCTCTCTCTCTCTCTATGGGAGCTTGTGGGATTGTTATGTTTCTGTTTTCTACGTGGCTTTCTCCCCATTTGTATGTTTGTGTATTTTTCACACTCCATCTTGCCTGTATTCTACCTAAAGAATCTAATCTTAGAATAAACATCAACGTTTGCAGTTGCGAACTGAGGTAAATAAGGTACTGGAATTTGCTCGAACTGAAAAGTTAATTGGGTCCAGCTTAGAAGCAAAGGTTTATATTCACACCCCGGATGCAAGCCTTGCCAAAAGATTACATCAGATGTGTGAAGCAGAGAACGATGCTGATTCACTTAATCGTCTTTTTATTACTTCCCAGGTAATTTCACCTCTTTTGCTACCTTACTAATTCTTTCCTTGGAAAACTTAAATTTCAAGTTTATCACTTGTTTAATAATTGGTTATACAGGCCGAGGTTATTTCGTCTTTGGAGAATAATCCTAGTGAGAAAATACCATACGCCGGGGAGTATGTTATTCAAGGAAGTGATAATAAGGTCTGGATTGGTGTATCAAGAGCAGATGGCTCAAAATGTGAAAGATGTTGGAATTACTCTACCCAAGTTGGTTTCTTCACTGAGCATCCGACTCTTTGTCCTCGTTGCTATAATGTTGTCGATGTTCAACCAATCCCTGAACTAGCTGCTGTCAATTGAAATTTGAAGAAGAATGCACGATTTATTTCATTTCATGGTTAACCAGCATTATTTGGGTGCATATTGCCTCAAATGAGTTTTTGTAGCTGCAAAGTGTTTGTAGATTATTATTGGTAATTGATTAAACTTTACTGTGGCTAGAAGGTTATAGCTGGCTTTGTCATACAGCATCAGGTATTGAAGATTTTGTACAGAATAATTCATATACAATGCAGTCTATGATATCACCTCTATATTCGTTTAGTAAAATAATTTTCAAGCTAACAAGTATCAGAAAAAGTAGCACTGTATGAGATGTCACAATGTGAGCTCTGAAGCCTGGTTTACTGTGTACTGAATTTTTAAGAAAATCTTCTTGAATGGTGAAAATTGACTGCCAAAGTGCCAATACAATGTTTATGTGATTACATTTGCTGCCATACATCATCTTGTTTGTCCATGCTTCATATATATCTTTCGACTAGCAAATGTATATCCCACCTGATAAACTTTCTTGTAGAAGGTGTAGCATTGGAGTATCCCTCTTAAAATTGATGGTGTTGAGAAAAGGGCAACTGCAAGAGGGGCACTGGTTGAACTCATAAGTGTAAAAGTTCAAACATCAGCATCAGAGGTGGATGCATATCTGCATATGCTATTTCTTTGTCCCTCAGTTGCAGCAGCTGAGTTCTGGCCTATCATGCCGCCTCGTCTTGGAGCATGAGAGATATCTTCAGTTGTACAATTTCACTGATTCTACTGCTGTAGGTTTTTGGGTAGGGAAGTCATGTATATTCCCATTGGTCAATATATGTATGTACTCTTAACATTTTCTATGGAAGATGAACTGATGAAAGAAGAGGACGAAGAAGATGAACCAGAGTGCAAATTACAAATATATCCTTTATTTTATACAAAAATTACAAGTTAATCCCTTTTATCCCTTGATAAACATCAAATGTTTATCTAGAGGTAAAAATTTCAATTACAAGTAGTAAAAGTACTCATTTTGTGGGTTATAGCTATCAAGGTTTATGTTTGCAAATTACAACCAAAATAGTCACCAAACATTTTAAACTACATGAAACCAAAATTTGATTTTTGGTCACTTTCACCGGAATATGATGTTATTAATCATTTATTGATATAAAGAATAAAGCCAAGCCACAACTAGTTTGTAATACTAGTGTAGAATTATTTATTGATATAGTGACGTCATATATTTTAGTAAAAGTGGTTGAAAATCGAATTTTGGTTATAGTTTAAAATATTCGATCACTTTTTTTAATTTTTATTTTATCAAGAAGAGGATACAAGTACCAAATAAGATTGTAACTAGCAAAATGGTACTGTAGGAGATAACTGGAGCAAGCCCTTTTACATACTAGAGTACGACTCTTGTTCCATAAGCATAGGAACAAGAAGCTAGCATGGCAGACGATAAGCCACAGACTCTGATATGCACCATTGTAGCAGTAGACACCACCAACGACTTCTCGTACTTGGTTTGTTCAGTCTGCGAAAAGCCCCTTCATAACCCCATTTCACCCTGCAATTTCTGCAATCGCAACGCCTTCAATTCCTCTTCTTTTCCTTCCAAACGCCTCTTTCGCCTTCTTGTAAGTTTTTCTTTCTCCTTCCCCCCCTTTTTCGATTATTCCTGCAACTTTACCATTATGATCCTGAAATTTCAGAGATAATAATTATGTGTCAGATTACAAACGTTTCGTCCGGGTAAGGTTCACAATGGGGGAATTGTAGTGCCCAAAACCCGGATCAAATTCCGTCTACAACACTACCCTTTGCGATTGTGTATAATATTTCTTGGTGGGGGTTAATGGGTTTTTTCAAAATTAGGCTTGGAATTTGGAATTTTATTGAACAAATTCTAATTCTTCTACTGATGATTTTGGGTTTTTTTTTTTTTTTTTTTTTTTTTTTTTTTTTTTTTTTTTTTGCAGATGTCAATTGCATCAGATACAAAGGTATTTAGGGTGATATGCTTTGATAGGGCTGCTAAAGTTTTGCTTGGTTGTTCTGCTGGTGAATTCTTCGATTTCGCAAAGCTTCATCCTTTTGCAGGTACATTTAACCCTTGTTTGCTTTCACGGGCAATTATATGGTGTAATTATGAAATTTCGAGTTGACACAGTTGTTTTCACTCATGCCCTTCTTATGATGATGTTACTATAGTTAATTCTGTATGTATTTGCTTATGTATTGATATATTTAGCCATGTTAGTATTAATCTTTAGTTGGGTTCTTACAGCTTCAAATGCTGGAAGGATCTTGGAAGGTGAAATGTGTCGGATGACATTGGCGAAACCAAAGAATGGTAATGCTCAACATCTGCGCGTTGCATCTGTTGTTCCTCTGAGCTCTGGCTTTCAGCCAGTAATTCAGTCATTGAAAGAACACTATGGAGTGCACTAGTTCTTAACTTTATCTATTTGTATATTGGGGCTCAGTTACCGTCTTAAAGTTGTTAAAGATCAAGGCATTTATGGATACTAGATGTTTTGAAAATCTTCTTGTTAGATATAACAATGGGTAGTTGTGGGAACTTGAGTGCATTGAAGGCTTATTACTTTCATTGAGACTGAGATAGGCTTATCATGTTACATAACAAAACAGACAACACTGATCTCTGCAAGTTTTCTACAGTTTTCCTTATCCAAACTTGTTCACGGTTGTACTTTAGTTGTACCGATTTAGTGATGAACTTGTTATTGTAGAGAGCTGATGATAGACAGTAGCTATGGCCTACAGATATAGATGTGTGGTTTGTGATTAGAAGCCACTTTGTATTACTGTGATTTGCAAAGTGAAATGAATTTTTGCATCCTTAACACTAGTATCTGTAGTATGTGAATGGATTGCTTATACCAGTTTGGGTTTTGTTAAAGGGTTATGTTTGAAGTTTCAGTGATGGCTTCAAGTTTCAATTATTGTGTATGGCCTGGAACTTTGTTTTATTTTCCTGTCATAGAGTTAAGGCTGAACACTCTTTCTTATTCACTGTTCCTTTGAAACTTTTGCTGTCGATCTTACAAATTAGAAATCGAAGCTTTTGTGGAACAGAAGGTAGTATAATTTATTTGTATGCTTAAAAAGAATAAACTTGAAAATTCATGGCTGCATAAGATCTTAGGTACTGCACACTGATGTCTATATGGGTCAAAGTAGTTGCTCGTTCATATCAGATTGTAAGTTTGATTTTACTACTAGCAATTCTGACCCATCAGCAACGGGCAGATTATCACACAGGTGAAATCTTCTCTGTTATATCTGCTGAAGCCAGAGTACCTTGAGTCCACCTCTTGAGCATCTCTAGAGCAGCCTTAGGCTGGTCCATTGGGACCATGTGTCCAGCATCATGCACCTGCCTCATAAAAATGCCAAAGTTAGCTACTACATTGTAGTAAAGACGAAGACTTTTAGGTCATGGTTGATTGAGAATCAGGCTCAATATTGAGCAAACTTAGAAAATTGGCACCATGTTTAAAGGGTGCAATGCCCTTAATCTTTTCCTCTGTCGTCCTAAGACTACCAACAGTAAGACCATAAGGTAAATTTATGCTTTCTTAACTATTTTACTTATTAGATGTTTGTACTAGTTAATGCCATTATATAGAAACATAAGTGCAAGAGCTAGACCTTGAGGAAAGCAAGGGAACCATGGCTTTTCATTTGTCCTGCTTCTTTGTTATCAACAGTGAAGGATACAGTAGGAGCTGCTGTAAAATCTTTCTGTCCAGACCATTCCACGGCATGAACCCACCTAGAGTTCCCTGCAGCAGACAGAAAGACAAATCTCATTCAGATGATGAAAATTAATGATGGTAAATCTGGATTAGATTAAAATGCTTCCGGTGAGTAATAACTTACCAAGCCAGTTGCATATCAGATCATACTCCCCAGCATAAACCAGCAGCTTGATTCCATCCTCCAAAAGGGCAGGGATACCAACTTCGAGATTCCTCATCCAGTCCATTTGCATGGCATCATACACCTCGGTACTACATGATACGAAGTCAATGTCCCCAACACCAAGGGCTTTTCTTACTGATTTCTGATTCAGTAATGTCTCCATATTCGAAAAGTCATAACACAAGCTGGTCTCACACTTCTTCCTGATGTCATAGTACTGCATATAGAAGAAATAGATTTTTCGTAGTTAGTCCATGCTCAAGGCAGGCTTTTCGAAATGTTATGTTTCCATTTATATTTCTAAAATGTAAGATATTGTTACTTACATTTGTGTCTCCTGCATAGTCCATGATTTTGTTGAAGATGTTGGTGCAAGCAAAGTACGCATTCAAGCAAGAATCTTTACCATCAGTACCTAAATTCCCCAAGGATGAGAACACACTTTATATACGACTTACAGAAGTCTTAAAAGCTGCGCTTAGCAGGAAACAGGAAGACACGGGATAATTACCACACTGCTTGATTGCTTGTTCACAAGCAGGAACCATTTCGCTGATGCTTTTGTGCTCTGCCTGTTTGATGATTCCATTATCCAAAGCAAAGTCTGGGTATGCTTTGTATTGGATTTCTGGATGGGTGAGGCCGTTACCAATTGCAAATCCCTGATTACAAGGAAAAAAGATTGAAATTAAGTTTGTGCAAGAAATTCAAAGGCGGAAAAGAAAAGTAAGGCGAGAAGTACCTTGAGATTTATGGGGAGTCCTTCTTTAGCCTTGTTTCCGTTGTGAACTCTAGCAGCAAAGGCAGGGATGTAATGCCCAGCGTAGGATTCTCCAGTGATATAGAAGTCATTCTTGGCATACTGAGGATGCGCCTTGAAGAAAGCCTATAATTTTCCAAAACTATTTTGAGTTAGAACCGGATTGTAGTTCCTTACTAGTATTTCCATAACACAATATTATCAATTCGAAGCAACAGCAACTCACGCACCTGCAGGAAGTCATACAAGTCATTGCTAACACCATTCTCATCGTGTCGGATGTCACCAGAATTGGAAGTGTAACTAAAACCTGTTCCTATTGGCTGGTCGACGTAGATGAGATTGGAAGCCTACAAAAGTATCAACAAAATGTCATATATTATGAAATCATCACAGGATCAAGACGAATAATTGAAAGAAGTTCAATGACCAAGGATTAGAATGATACCTTATCCCAACCATAATCATTCCAAACCAAAGACATATTGTTGGCAATTTGATAAGGTCCATTCTCATAGAATAGAGCTAGCTCACTGCTGCACCCTGGTCCTCCTGTCAACCAAATCACGACGGGATCATCCTTGCGATTTCGTGATTCAAAAAAGAAGTAGAACATCCTGCAAAGATTTTTGTTCATCAAGTCATCAGATTTATCACTTTGATAAAAAAAGAAAGGTACATTTACATTAATAGGCTTAAAATTAACTTTTGTACTGTATTAACAACTGCACTAATAGGCTTTAAGCCATTTTTCACTAAATAGATGGCTTTTTTGTCCCGAATAATGTAATTTTTCGATGAATAGTAAAATAAATCTATTGGCAAATTTATTTCCCAATAAGTAATTTTTAGGAGACATGTAATTTTGATGGATTAGTAAAAAAAAATTGTCATCTTTACAAGTTATTTAAAAGAAAATCACCAATGATCATTTTTTTTTTGGCTACATTTTTAGGAGACATGTAATTTTGGTTTTTTTTTGCTTTGTTACGGAGTAGTTCTTTATTTCTTTTTTTTTTTCTCTTTTTATTCAACATGTTTTATGCTTTGTTTAGCAAATTCACTAAGCCGTGTCACATATTGTCATTAAAATGACGGTTTTTTCGTCTCAATTAAAATAATTCCCTAACAAAAAAATTACAGGGCCAATGCAACTTCCCAAAGAGTAATATTTAGGAGAAACATGATACTAAAAATAAAAAAATTTCAACTTAAAAAATTCTAGTTTTTCAAGGAAAACTAGAAAATGTTCTGATGAAGAATCAAAATGAAAAAGTTACACAATTGCATTATCTGGCAAATATAGAAATCAATCATTTCAACACAAAAACAGCCAAACATTGATTTCCTTTAATTATCCTTTATCTCTTTTTATGCAACATTTTTTTATGCTAGTATAGCCCGTCAATTACTCATGCTTGCATAATGCATATGCAGAAACCTTTAACGAAATATATATGACACATAATAATCACAACATTTCACCAAACAAACAAAATAATAATCACAACATCATGAGTATTCTTTACTCTATTATTATATACAATTAAAACCCATTTAATATAATATTAAGTTAACCCTTTTTTTTTTTTTTTTTTTTTTTTTTGAGGGAGAAGTTAACCCATGTATTTAGTTAGGCTTAGGCATGAACTTCACTTTTATTCATATATAAAAGAAACAACTTTTTCTTTACTTTGCTGTCTTTTCCTTGCTTCTTAGGAAGTGTACTATTAATTTACTCCGTAGATTAAGGCAAGCAGTCACATGTAATTACGACACTTTGCGCATTATAAATATTGATCGACGCGTAAATAAATTTAATTTGTACCAATTATCGCCAAACATATCAAAACCATAATTATTGATTACTCCCACGCAATAATTTTATTTTATAAAAAATTAAACACAAGTTTACACACTAATAAAATGAAGTCTTTTTTATATACTAAAAGGGGAAAAAGGATATTTTATGGTTAGTTGTATATAATACGATCTTTGTATATAATTTTACTTATCGTATGATAATTGCAAGCCACAAAAACAAAATGAAAATTATGATCATGCGTGAATATGCGATGTACACCACTATCGTGCAAAAGTAAATTAGTATCCATAAAATTCAATCAAATAGTTGAACTAAGATTCCAAAGTCAAAAAAATCTGGTAAAACTAATAAAAACAAACCAATGAAAAACCAAAATTGAAGATAAAAAATACAAAAACACACCTGGCATCTTTGGAATGAGGAAGACGATAATACCCTGCATGATGACCCAAATCCTCAACACTAGTACCCGGGTCACCACCCAATTCGGATATCTTAAACCTTTTCTCTACCAAACCCGATTCCGAAACCGATAACCCGCTTTCGACGTCGTCGTGGTGGTTATAAGGGTGTTTTGGGAATAAATTAAGTTGCCTTATAAGTCTCTCTGCTTGAAGTTTTGGAAATGTTGTGGTAGATGACAACTTAAAATGTTCTTGTTGTTTATGGTTTGGTTTAGCATTGGTTAGAAAACACAATGATTGTAAATTCAATAGACAAAAAACAACAACAAAATAACTAAATTTATGAAAAAACTTAAAACCCATTTTTTCTTGTTGGTTTTTAATTTTTGAAATTTGAGATAAGAAAAAGAAGAGAAGTTTGTAGGCTATTTATAGAGTTTGGAATTTAGGTATAAAGTGGGGGGAAATAAAATGCGAGAAAAAAGAGTGCCTTAACGGTCTAAGGGTTGTTCAGTTGTTGCACTAAAAGTAATGTATTTCTTACTTTAAAGCTATTTGTTTACAAATTGTTATGTATTATTATATTTTGGCTCTTTGTTTCCTTTGTTTTTTCAGTTGTCATTCTTTTTCTTTGTCTTTGTTCCTACTTATCTTTTTCTTTGATGTGCCATCATTACCTTCCCTTGTTTGGATTTGTTTATATTAAGTGATATATTTATTTTATTTTATGAAGGGATTTCAAAATTTAGGAAATATTAGAAAAAAAAAAATGTAATGTCAAGTATATTATTAGATGCAATTAAGAGAATGTAATTATTTATACATTATATATATGCAATGAATGTGGCTGTAGCATTGAAAGCTAAAAAAGGATGTCTATTATCTTTCATGCCATGCTTTACTTCTCTATTTAGTGTTATATTCTTAGTGAGATGTAAATTAAATATAATGTTATTGTAATATTAAAATTCAAGGAATA